CCGGCCCCGATGCCTACTCTTCAACCGCTTCCCGTACCGGCACCGATGCCTACATCGCAGCCAATGGAAGATGAATCCACTGAGGCTGACATCAATGAAGTCGAGCCAACGATGGCTCAAGTAGTTACGTTGTTCCCTCCTTCAACAACGCCGATGCCAGCGACGTCTTCGCCAGTGCCCTTTCCTACGGTGACTACCACAGCAGTTGCTGAAAGCACCGCTACCGAGAGCACAGCTACTGAAAGCACGGCTGCGGAAAGCACAGATGCTGAAGTAACGGAGTTGAGCGCTGCGACTTCAGTAACAACCACGACGGAGGAGGCGAGTGAGACAACCGCGATAATCAGGCCTGAGTCGAGTGTGAGTGCGGCTGTCGTCGCGGAGTCCAGTGACGAAGCGGAAGATGATGTCGTGGCGGTGACGGCTTAGGTTCCAGAACTTTTTTGAGACATAACACGGTTTTTTTAAAGGCCACAAATATAATTGGACCAAGCTTCTTGTGCCATGGCTGTCGTCGACCTTGCTAGACCTACTGAAGAAGCCGAGCTTCGCAAGCATAAAATGAAGAGACTCATCCCCGTAAGAACACACCTCTACCGCACTCGTCCAGAGTGTCCAGGTGTTATCTAAGCGTGGTCCGGAGTGTCCACTCCGTCGTCGCCATCGTCATTTAGATGCCCGCCCGCCGTCGCCGTCATCAGACGTCGTCGCCGTCATCAGACGTCGTCGCCGTCATCAGATGCCCGCCCGTCCTCCAGATATCCGCTCTGTTATTGTAGTCTCCTAACTCATATTTTAACGATGTGAAGTGTCCTGGCTGCTATAGCATTCAGACTGTGTTCTCGCACGCCTCGTCCGTGGTGGTGTGCAAGGGGTGCTCCTCCGTGATTGCCCGCCCCACCGGCGGCAAGGCGGCCCTGGAGTCCGGCACCGAGATGCGAAGAAAGTAAATAAGTTTTTATCCGGCACAACTACCACTACAGCTTGGGACCAACAAAGCGCCGTCAAAAAACACACAGAACTTCAGTCAACGATGGGGAGCCCGTTGCGCATTTGGGAGAACAGGACACCGGACAATATAAGGGCCGCCCGCCAAAAGCAAAGCATTAAGACCGTCCCTACGCGGCAAGAAGCGAACAGGGACCGTCGAACAGGGACAGAATGCAAACGGCAGGGGCCATTTGCCGACGCGGTTGAGAGCCAAAAGTTTGAGGGTCAAGAGGTTGAGGGTCAAGAAGAGGTTGGGAGTCAAGAAGAGGTTGGGAGCTCCTCTCAGAAAATATGTTTGTCCGCAAATCGTGGTCACGCTTATGATGCTTCCCAGGAACGGACGAAACAGCATATCTACCCGCAGGTTGCTGTCCGCCATGTGCAAGCAAGCCGCCACATCTGCCACGAACCTCAGTCGAGAGGAGCAGGTTTGGAACGTCTTGACGCAATCGAAAAACGGTTCACTGAAGAGAAGTTTAAGTCAGACGTGACGGCACGGATAAACCGATACAGAAAACTGATACCGGATGCCTCCCGGCCCCAACTGCTCATGCTTGACCACGGCCCCAACCACGTATGTCTTCACACCCAACTACACTCCGATCAGCACACTCTGTTCTGCACACGACCGTCGGTCACACGTCTTCTCTGTCAGAGCACGTGTTTGAGATTGAGTGTTGCAACCGGCGGGAAGAAGTGTCGCCGAATGGAATCGGATGTGGGAGTGAATATAGGTGCCTTGTTTTCTATTTTGGATGGCCTGTTGGACAGGTTGGGAGGAATACACGTGGGAAAAAGAAGGCCCACCAACTCCGGCTGCCCATAGATGGCTGAGGCCCATAGATGGCTGGGAAGGCGCCCAATTCGGGTGACGGTCGGAGTGTGGCTGGCAAGAGTGGGTGTTAAGGGATGGTTGAGCATGGTTAGGTGTTAGGGGGTGGTTGATTACAGGGGTGAAAGGGATCAGTTGCGAGAAAATAGTTCTTGAACCGGAGAAATAGTTTAATGCTATAAAGGAAAAAGCTTGGTGCTTTATTCTATTCGTCCACTACACGGTCGTCCACTACACGGTCGTCCACTACATGGTGGTCCACTACATGGTGGTCCACTACATGGTGGTCCACTACATGGTCTTGCATGTAAGGCGTCGAGGTGGGCGAGTCCGGTTAGGTGGCCGCTGCATTTACTTCTCAGCTTCGGGTTCAACGGCGACGGGGGCGGCGGGGGCGACGGCGGCTGCCGCCGTTTCGGCGTCGGTGGTCCAGAGGGTGAGGTTATCTCTGAGCAGTTGCATGATGAGGGTAGAGTCGCGGTAGGATTCCTCGTCGACGGACTCAAGTTGTGAGATGGCGTCGTCGAAGGCGGACTTGGCAATTTGGCAGGCAATTTCTGGGTGTGAGAGGATCTCGTAGTGGAAGACGGAGTAGTTCAGGGCGAGTCCAAGGCGGACAGGGTGGGTGGCGTTGAGTTCCTTTGCGGCTATGTCTGTGGCGCGTTCGTAAGCTTCCTTTGCGGCTTCGGTGGCCTTGGCTTTATTAGCTTCACCAGCGAATTCGCAGAGGTAGCGGTAGTAGTCGCCCTTCATCTTCCAGTAGAAGACCTGTGCCTCCACATCCTCCTCGACGGACTGGAGTAGGTGTTCCTGGAGCAGTTGGATGATATCCTCACAGATGGTGGAGAGTTCCTCCGTGACCTTCTGTTGATAGGCCTTGGTGATCTCCACGTACTCCAATTGCGCTCTCTGGCGTTGTTTGTTCTCGAGCGAGTTAATGATGCGCAGTGAGGCACGGCGAGCACCAACGGCATTCTTGAAAGCCACCGACAACAAGTTGCGCTCTTCCACAGTCAAAGGCGTATCCTTGGCAGCCGTGCGGACCAACTCTTTCATGGACTCAGCCATTTCGTCGTAACGCTCCGCCTGCTCCGCCAACTTGGCCTTGTACACAATCACATCGCGCTCGTTAGTAAGTGGGGCAGTGGGGGACATGTTTGTTCGTGTCGAGAAAAAAAAGGCGAAATATTAATCAGCCTACTTCGAGACACGGCGCACACACACGCACTCCAATGGACGATGCCGGGCGACCTTCCAGACGCAGCGCCGCCAAGAAACCCCAAACTGCTGCGAAGAAACGAAAGAGTCCGGACGAGACCGACCACGTCAAGATAACTGACAAAAAAGCCAAACTCGAACAGGACGAGCTTCTTCGACAACAAGCTGCCGCCGCTGCTGCTGCTACTGAAGGCGACTCTAGTCAGGAATCCGTCAAGCACTCTGACTCTGACGTGAAGTCGGATGACAAGCTAGACGCAGGTAAACAAGACGGGGGGAAACAAGACGGGGGGAAACAAGACGGAGGGAAACAAGAAGGGGGGAAACAAGATGGGGCGAAACAAGATGGAGGGAAACAAGATGGAGGGAAGACCGCAGAGGCAAAGACCGATGTAAAGACGGAGCGCAGACCCACCCGGAAACCCGCAACTGAACGCGCTGGCGGCCGGGGAACTGTACGGGCCGCCGCCGTAGTCACACCCGCTCCTATCCTCCGACCCCCGAAAGGCATGGAGATGGACTTTGGCTTGCATACGGGGCACCTGGAATCACCTTTGATGACGTTTGAATCCACGGTACGGGCCTTGATAAAGACTTTGAAGCACGGCTCGGAGATTGCGCTGCCAACCCAGAATATGAGCAGCTGTGCCGACTGCCGTGGCGGTGGAGACCTCCTGTGCTGTGACTGTTGCCAGTTCTCCTTCCATGTCGACTGTCTGGAGCCGCTCGAGCGAGGGTCGTTTCTTCAGGCGCCTCTCAGAAAACAGGGACTCAAAGACACCGACGGCCGAGATGGCGGTCGAGAAAACGGTCGCGGAAGGGAGTCCAGGACGGATGTTGCCGATTTTCTGCTAACGGATAGCGAATGGTATTGCCCATATTGTCTGTCTGTACCGGTGCAGCGCTACTGGAAACGCGGGGTGCCGCAGTTTATGAAGTCGTTTACGGGCTTTCCCGACGAGGTTACGGAGGGTTACCACTCGGAAAGTCACCGCGGCGGCGTCCTGGGCCGCTGGTGTGACGACGTACAAGAGTTTATGTCGAGCCTCGGTCCGGATGACGTTGAGATTTTCCCACCGCACATTCTCTTGGCTATGACCGGGATTCGCAGGGCGATCCAACGTCTAGGTCCAACCTTCCAGGTCGAGACCAAGGCTGAAGTGGAGAAGTTGCAAAAGGAAGAACAAGAAGCAGCGACGGAAGACGAGGACATGGCAGAACCAGACGTGAAGGACGAAACCGGAGCGCGCAAAGCCAGCATCATGAAAGGCAAAGACCGTAATATCCCGTCCGATGAAGTCTTGTCGGAGACGGAAGTAAGGAAACCCAAACCAGCCGAACGTTCTCGACGCGGAAGAGCTAAGACCATAGTTCCCACTCCCGATGAGCCTGAGCAGCTGGAGACTGCTAGAATGAATATCGGCGCAAATTTCCAGGTTCCCGGCATCCATAAGTTCCTCTCGGAAGCCCTCGACTTCGGCTGCAATTACGCCGCCCTCGACCACCACTCCGTATATGCGTACCTGCCACGCGACAGCCGAAGCTTCATACCCGTAACCAGATGCTCAGCCAAGAACACCTGCAGACTCGTCTACTCCGTATCAGAACTGCAGAAAAAGCAAGCAGAAATACTACAACTCACCGAGGGCGATAATGACCCCGCCAGACTCAATTGTACTATTCCCCTAGCGGACGACGAACGTAAAGCCCACTCCATTACCTTCACCCCGCACGCTACGTACTTCTCATGCTACGTCTTTCTCATGCTTTATGTTTAGTCAATTTGTACTGCCATCAAGCACTAACCATGTGGCCGGCCTGGATACAATGGCCTTCGTCTCCGGAATATGCCCTCAAAATCCTGCATCATTGTCGTTACGATGCCAGAGAGGCTCTGAGGCTGCTCTGCACTGACGGCATGCAATTCAAGCGTAAGAATGATTCGCCAAACATAATGTTTTCTTTTCCAGCAATCTGCGACCCGCCCGTACGCCCGTATATGAATAAATGGAAACCTCGAGATAAGCGAGGCATGATTTCAGGTAAGCAGGGACCAAATTCATGTGTATGTTGTAGCTATTCCCTTCCCGATGCCGTCTACCGCGTTATCATTTGCCGGGCTCAAGGATGTTGATGATCGTAGCTGATTCTGCGCGCGGCACACGTGTGCGCGAATATATATATGCGCGGCCTTCTGTGGATCCTTTGGGCAACTACAGCCGTAGGAGGTCCCAATGCCACAGATCGTTCGGCCAGTGGAGATTTATCGCGAGGTGAAGTTATCTTGGACGTGGACGACGAAGAGCCGCTGGTCAGTACACCATTTCCTGAAATCGCGATGACAAGCGAAGTGGACCAATCGGCTGAGACCGCTTTTACAGAGCTTCTCGCCGTTCCGACAACGCCGTTAGCAGAATCGAGTACTACAGGTGTGTCTGCTCGGATAAGTACTGGGCTGCCAGTGAAGAGCCACAAAACAAACCTTTATGAATACGTCACGGTACCGATGACCACGAAGACTAGGTCACCGAAGGCGACGATGCATTTTCAATCGGTGGCGGAAGAACGGGCACACTTGTATAAGCTGACGAGCGGAGCGAATGGGAATGTTTGTTTTGGAGTCGCGATATTTGGAGTTTATATGTTCGGAGTGGAATAGCTCGCCGAGGTCGCCACACGTGTGTGCTGCATATGCCAACCACTTTTGAGCTGGCGGAATATGTAGAAGATGTGATAGGCAGCGAGCGCGAGGCGTGGGAATATTTCATGAAGCTGAAGTACTTTTCAGCTGACCTTTATATAGCCGAGATGATAAGTATAAGCACAACAGATCGTATAAAAGAGTGGGAACGCCGCGCCATAAAAGTAAACGATTTCAAAGTACGACCAATCTGTGGTAGGACTTCGGGCGGGACTTCACGCACGTGGTGGTGGATTTGGGACGAATGGAGCCTTTACCGGCGTTCGCTCGTGACAGTAGCGGTAAACTGCAAGAGCGGGAGCTGAAAGTGGAGTGTCTACATTTTGGTATGCATGACTGTGACTTTCTGTTGCCGTTGAATTTTGCACCAATTCCCATATCTGCCACGAGCATGGACACGATGGTTCATCGTGCAGTCATCTTCAAGATCGTGATGGGTCGGTCGATGACCTACACATCGAATAAAATGGCGAGCCTTCCAGACCACCTAGACTCCGTGGTTTACCAGACGGATGTACAGCAGATCGACCCAGATGTGAGCCAGATGTTTGAGCAAGTTAAAGCAGTGGATCGTCCCTTTTTCTATGATGAGAAGACGCACTTGCAGTCGAAAAATAAGGCCGTCTCAACCGCTCTGACGAACCAGTGCTGGGTCCGTCTGAAGTTGCCAGAGGTACAGGCGATTCCTGTGTACCTCTGCACAGTTGACTTTCGGCCTGTTCGCGTGGAAACATCGATGCCAGTCTGTGATGCGTGCAGCGTTTCGTCTGCGACGGTGTATTGTTCGGCAGACAAGTCGCATTTTTGCAGCAGCTGTGATGTGGCGCATCACTCGCGGTCCACCGTGGTGGCGCGTCACGTTCGTTGCTCTGTCACCGAAAGCCCGCACATGTTTGGCAATTGTAGTGAGCACCCATCGGCAGTGATTGACGCTGTTTGCGAAGGGTGTTTCCAAACACTTTGCAGCTACTGTCTTTTGTTGGGGAACCATGCCTTGGTGGCCAATCCTAGAGAGCATCCCCTGGTGTCCACCTTTGAAGCATACAAACACTGTCTCTCGGGTGACAGTGACGTCGACCAGACCCTGCGCGCTATGAGAGCGAACATCGGCAAGAAAATGGACCATTTGCAGTTCGGTCTGACCCAGTCTATACGGAACTTCAAGAGCATTGCCAAACAGCTAGAGGAGGTCAAGAGGGAGACAGTACATAAGATCGACAGTTTGTACTCAAATGCGCGTCTTAGATACCTCGAGGGTATCAGAAAGGAGTTTGTGATGGAACTGTTGTTTTGGAAATTGGTCGAGGACTTTTGGAGCCATGTCTCCAAGACCCTGCCTCCTGCTATGTACTTACATTACCGGCGGAAATTAAGCAGGCTCGTGCACATCTGGGCATCCTCGGACATGGCTTCTTATGCCGGCGACACGGTGACCTCATTTCCCCCCTCCTTGTACCAGGCTCCGACATCCGTTCATCTTCCTTCGCTCTTTCCCTCTTGGTGGTCTTCCTCTGGCCAGAACGGTGTCGATCCGACCCAAGTAGCAGGGGATAACGACGGTGCGCAGCGCAAGAAGTTTAATGCAAGCACGCTAGTTCCTGCAATAATAGTGGAAGGCAGCCTCGTAGTTAGCCCCATCAACAAGGACGCCTGGATCGGGAACGAAGTGTTTGGCCCCACTGCCCACGAGCTGGACGACGATTTGGTCATGGACAGCTGGGAGAAGACCTGCGAAAATGTTCTGCCCTCTCCTACCATCACGGACAATGTGGCGGTTCTCGGCGAGATTGCAGGCCACGACGACGTGGCGGATGACGGTGATCGGTACCTCATCAACCAGGCGGAGCTCGAAGTCAAGTCGCCGGACGAAGTCATGAAGCAATCCACCCACATTCCCAAGTGCAAGATTATCTGGCAGGTCCTCAGCGACCACGAGTTCCAACTACTCCGGAAACTGCTCTATGCTCCAGACTCGGAACTGTCCTTCTCCGTCAAGATGGAGCTGGCCGACGCCGTCGTGGACCTTGCGCTCTACTTCGGAGATGTCACCAACGTACTGACCATCCTCTTTTGTCAGACGTATATCCGAATGTTTCGGAGATGTGCCCGTGCGCCCTTCATGGATTACGATACCTTCCGTCAGTCCACACTGGACTGCGACCTTCTTGTGGACCCATTACTGGGCGAGTGCATCTCTCACGTCCTAGACGGCAACCCGGCCCTTGGGAACAACTTTGGAGGCATGCTCTCCAACGACGACGCTAGTAGTCTCATAGCAACTATTATTCCGTTCCTGCAGTCTCTCGCCTCCAAGATAACCGTATCCGATCTCAAGGAAGAGAACGACCAAAAGACGCCTACTTTGGATCCCAGTTTGGACGCACGTTTGAACGGAAGTTTCGAGTCATCACAGGAGGTTGTGGGCGATTTGACGGAGGAATCGTTTAGAAAGTTGAGTGACTATGATGAGTGGTGTGTGGATGACGAGACCATGAACTTCATCAAGGCTCTGACATCGAAGCTGACGACGTTGTCAAAGTTACCGGTTTACGTGCAGGCGATTATCTGTATCGCACATCAATCTTACGACCACCTGCTGGACCTCTCACGTCTCGGTCTGCTGCAGACGGTGGACGCGATGTGGTCGGCGGACGAGCCGTGTCGGTTCCACAACTTGCCGAGTCAACTGAACCAGCGCGCACCTGCAGGAGTGGCCGTGCTTTGCATCCTGAGTTACATCTATTCCAAAGCCATTCTTGCCGTGGGCCGACGACTGGAGAAGGAAGCTGAAGACCGAGGCGACCGCCTGCGGCTTTCGCTAGCGGCCCGGTGTTTAGCACAGCGGCTGCACGGCATCGGCTTCCATGCATTCGTCGAGTGTTTACATTATGTCGACAAGTCTCGGCGCCGTCGCGACTTGGAGTTGTTGGTGGGCACCGATCTGGGGACACAGCTGGACACGGAACTCGGGGCTGGTGAAGAGGGTAGCGTCTACATGCGTGCGGGCCATGCGACTGCGCGTTGGATGCTACACTCTGTCGCTCGGAATCTGCGCGGAGATGACAGTAAAGTCATCAATCCCCCACTTCAGTTCCGAGGCTCCGACGTCGACCGAATTAACGTCATCCGACACGCCGGAGACGTCTGGATCGAGGCAGCGCCGCACTTCGAACAGGCGAAAGACAACATGGAATTCTACTCCTGCACTCTTTCCTCTCAAGATCGCGAAGGACTACAGAAACTCATCCGGCTTGCCAACCTTGAACCATCTGCTGAGGACACAAACCCCGCGCAGGACAACATAGTCCCCACCGGAAAGGTAGACGAGGTTCCTACAGGTCCGGACATGGTCTAGTACCTGTTTGAAACAGGTTGGCCAGCACGGAGGAACATTTGTACCCTCTTGAACAGCACAGTGTAATGTACACTGCTACACACGTGTGTGTGGTACACACGTGTGTAGAGAGTGTACACACGTGTGCAGAGAGTACTTACTACACACGTTCGTGGAGATTAATGTGGCTGGTTGTTTCTGTTGTTTCAAACTGGAAGCGTGCTTATTTCTTTGCCTTGCTCTTTCCGGCTTTAGACTTTCCGGCTTTTGACCCTTTCCCTTTCCTAGCTCCAGAGTGGTGATTGTTCTTGGAATCTGGGTGGTTATAATCATACAGCTTTTCGGGATGGACATCGACACAACCAAAGAGGAGGTTGGTGTTCTTCTTTATCTCGTCCAGTTTCTTCTTAAGCTTGAGTTTCTTCTTTGCGGTCTTTTCATCGGGAGTAGCATATTCCTGACATTTCTTTTGGGCGTCTTCTAGCTTCTGTTGGACTCTGTCTGACTCTTCGAAGAGTTGTTCGAATAGTAGGACAATGCGTCCTTCCGTGCGTTTGGACACAATGATATCGAGCGCATCGTTCTGGACCTGAATTTCTTCCAGTAGGCTTTGATGCAGGTCCGAAATCTCCTCCCTGAGTGCGGCGATGTCTGCACTATGCGGTGTCTCAATAACAAAGTCCGACTCCCCCAAACTTGCGCCCTTGTCGGCAGCCTCAATTTCCGTGCCCAGTAACTCACCAAAAGCTTCCAGCTGCTGGATACGGGCATTCAAAGCCTTTTGTTGGTTCTTCAGAGCCTCATCGAAAGCCAAAGTCTTATACAAATCACCCTCAGAAAGCTGCTTAGCGATATTTGACAACCCTTCGGACAATTCACGGGACATGCCTCGCTCCAGGGTGCCACTACGCTCCATGTCTTCTCCACTCTTTTCCGTTTGCAACTTCCCTGACCTCTCACCGGACGCACTCTTTTTCAACTCACCAGAAGCCAAAGCCTTGTCCGATGATTCCATGTTCATAGAGGACTGCTTCTCCGAAAGAACTTGCGACATGTTCACACACAAACACCCCTCACAATAGGGCATGCAAGGCAACAACTACCGACGGCACATACTAATGCAAGACCCCGCATACGCCAGTCCAGGGGGGTATCGCCAGCAAGCATTCAGCCTCAACGGGACTCGAGCCTTTAGGCAGCGACGTGACCAAACTGATCAAATGGATATGCTTCAAAGGAATACCTTTCAAAGAAACTCCCCTCCAAGGGAAGCCGTTCCAAGGGAAGAAGCCCTTACCTTTAGGCAGCCGACTATGATTGCTCGGGAGTTTGCTAGAACTAGAAGAGCCCGAGATCCTTCAGCACCAAAGTTGAGTTTCTTGAAACAGATGGCCGAGAATCACCCTGATCACAAGCCCCGCCTTTCATTGATAGTATACCGCATGCGTCCCATGATTTACCATACTGCCATATGCGTTGATAAGCGGGCAGAGTTTCATTTCTTCGATGGAGGCGGGGTGGTTGAGATGATGAGATTAGACCCACTCGTCGTAAGCTATCCACATTAACGTCCGACCCATCTACATGTATTCACACCACGTGTTGCCGCCATTCATCCTGTTCATCCTGATAGGCATCCATGCTCACAGTACCTGTGTATGAGGAGATCGATCTGGGAATGTCCAAACTCCCATACTTCGAGATCTACAAGTTTATGAGAGAGATGGACGAAATATCGTTTGCCCACGATCAGTACGACTTATTGTTATGGAATTGTAACCACTTTACGGAGTATGTCGCTCAAAGGTATGGCTGACTAAGGTATTCCATGTGAGGTGGTGGTTGTTTGGGTGGGGGGTTTGGAACTGGACACTGTTTGGGTTGAAAAGAGCTCGTTATTTCAGGGCATCGGAGAACGGAAAGTACCCGTCTTATGTGAATCGTCCGGCGCGAACGGTGAGTAACTTGATGAAACTGTTCACATGATTACAACCTGGCCGTGTCGCCTCCTTCTGTGACGTCCCACACTGTGGCATCGTCGTCTGACTCCGTGAGGGCGGAGGCTACGTGTGGACGAGTCAGTGCAGCAGTCGGACGGGGGAACAGTTCTTCCCCATCAGAGAGGTTGTCCGAAGCGACGGTGTCGACGACCGGACCTGAGGCCATGTCTCGGTCACTGGGTTCGTCGAAAGATCTGGCAGTTGACTCTTCGAACGAGGTTTCCACGATGCTGTCCGTCACATCACCCGTAGCATCCCCTTTGAGGGGAGAACTAGTGGAAGCCCGGGAGATCAGTTCGTCACCCAATTTCCCCATCGCGAGAGACTGAGCCTTAGTGACCATTGGTCGTCCCTCGGACATTGACGACTCCAGCGCTGCCACCGACTCCAGCGCTGCCACCGACTCCAGCGCTGCCACCGACTCCAGCGCTGCCACCGCGTTCTGGTCGCCATCCTCACCGCTCTTCGAATCCAACTGGTCCGAACCATCTGGAAAGAAATTGTTATTAAACACTTCTTCCAGTTCAATTCCATCCTCCTCGTAGTCGTCAGTGGTGCAAATTGTGTGGTAAAGTCTTTGTGGCTCATGACACTTGCACGAACAATTTAGGAACGGTCTCAGATTTATAATAATGCCTGTCATGTTATCGCAACCATACTCATAGATAGAAGGGTTAGGGGAAATAATCGAATCAAATAATTCCTCCAGAATCAGCGGCATACTATCATTCACCATCATTCTTGATCGTACATAATCCACGACATCCTGACAGCTATTATACTCCCAAATGCCATCACATCCCATAATCTAAAAAGATCAATCGTGTGCGATATCGTGTGCGATATAAACCGTACCATGTGCGATGCTACATGTGTGACAGGAGCATTATGGCGTGTGGGACAGGACGGGTAACGTACAATAAATTCATCTGTTGGAGTCAATTTTTTTTTGATGATATCAGGGAATGCAGAGACAATCTGGCGTTCCGGAGGCTTCAACGTATCTTGTTTATATACGAGATCACCGATAGCCCTAGACAAGTTCAAGTTCCCATTGATGCGTCCGAACTCAACATAACCACCTGCCTGATAAATCCTTTCGCGCTCTTCGGTGTTAGTGGGTTTGTGATCAAAGCTCAAAGGGTCCGCCTTCCCCGCCCGGCACAATACAGCCCGACTATCACCAGCATTGGCGACATATATATCCTCCCCCTGTAAGATTCAGTGTAAGGGCGGGCAAGGGGTGAACGATCGCAAGGGGTGAACGATCGCAAGGGGTGAACGATCGCAAGGGGTGAACGATCGCAAGGGTGTGAACGATCGCAAGGGTGTGAACGATCGCAAGGGGGTGACCTACTACGATCAAAGCAGTTAGCGCCGTGCATCCGGATAGGACAGCTTTGTTTTTCATTTGAAGTTTAGAATCTTCGGTCTTCCAGGTAAATCGTTTCGACACAAGTTTGTACAAACTCTCCAGTAAAGATGGCGTAGTCTGTTGAGCCGCCACGGTTGTCGGACTGGTGGCTTCCGGACTGTTTTTGGCGCCTTTATGACAGCTAACAGGCATAGGGCAGCGACAGTCTTCACAGGGACTCGAGTCATGGACAAAGGAGACAGTACTAGGTTTATGGTCGCCACGGTCATAGAAACAATATTTGTGCGAGAAGTCACTGGATTTGATTTTTGCAGCCAAGTCTTCTAGCCAATCAGTCGACTTCAAAATGCGATCTAGATTGCAATAGGCTACTTTCAGCGCTATCTCGTACTCTCCCTCTTGATATTGCGGACATTTCCTCAACTCTTCAACGATCGTGTGTGCGGCAAACTTGGAAACTTCCGCTCCTCCATGCCCGTCATAAATACCAAAAATATACACTCTACAATACCGCCGTAATCACCACATGTGCATATCCACTTGTGCATATCCACTTGTGCATAACCGATAATCACAGTCACCTACCTTTCATTGTTCGCCGTCTGATCGACACAGTTGTACAGGAGATGTGCGTCTTCCATTGTCAGCCTCCATCCCTGCATGCTCGACGCAGCATAAGAGAATCGCTCAGTGGCACCGGCCTGGCTGTGCTTGCTGCAAATAGGCTGGGTCAGATAATTTCCCATGCAATTAAAAATTAGATCTCAAAGGGGTATTGTACCCCACCACTCCTTGGCAAGCAACTTGCCAGTTGCGGTTAAGTGAAGCGGATTACGATCGGCTGGAGCCCCTCCACAGCCGCCTTGATCAAATCGTTTATCTCAACTGATGAGACGCCCCCAGGAGTCCCCGTGAA